TAGCCTAGGTAAGCTTCAGTGGGCCTTGTCACTATAAGTTAATGAAATGTCTCTAATTTCCAAATAAGTTCTACTTAAATTTTAAGATGTCCTAATTATGTAAGTTAGAAATTAATTTTTTAAGTTTGACTCCCAAAATATCTACTGATTTGGTGACTTTGTAGTACATCTCCTTTTATGCATATCAAGCATTTTGCTATCATCGTTATTTCACTAAAATCTTTCTCCATATCAATTGCATATGTTGTGAAACAGTTAATTTTGACTTATTTACTGCCTCCTTTGCTCTAAACCTTTTTACTCTGTAAAAACCTTTTTACTCTTTAACTTTGTGTTATTTATATACACACAATGAATACTGTGTTTACTAGGAATTGTTTCTTCATGCATCTCAGTCTTATCCTTTAGTGTCCAAAAGTTTGTGAGGCATTTCTAAGGGATAAAGGATTTCCCATCTTTATCTATTCACCATGTGAGCCGTTCTAGTGACAAATGAATTCTGGGCAGTGAATCGAGAAGGACACAGATGTCAAAGCCATGAATTTATAAATTGTCTGTTAAGAGGGTGCTTTTGTCCAATCACTTACAAGAAGGAATTGTTAATTTCACCTACAAGAAGGAATAATTATTCAATTATAGCTTCTGACAAAAATCAAATGACAAATGTGTCAGAATATGAAGGTAAAGGGTTAGTCAGAATTCTGGCAGGTGGTCCAAGATTTTAGCCAGCTGTGAGGAGATGGATATAGAACCAAATTGACCTGTAACACTGATTACAAATCCTTATGAATATTAATTGATCTTACTAACCGAAAGATAAAATTATTTCTAAATCTAATACAAAAACCATGATTTTCTATATTTTTGTGAAATATAATTAACTTCGAAAATATACCTCAACACTAGAAAAAGTAAAATCATATTCCTCTTTAGTTTCTTCCAATTACCAGCATATTATTATTTCAAAGCTGTTTTATTACTTTCAATAAGTTACAATTTTTATGAAAAAGGTATTTTTATTTCTTGGTGATATTACTAATACATCATATTGTTAGATGTATAGCCAGAGATCAACAAACTTCTCCTGTAAAAGGCCATATG